GAAAGAATTTTTTCGGTGCGGGCTCTTTGGGAGAGGAGGGTTAGGCATGCATGCCTAGATGCAGAATAGTGCATTGATGTGGTTTATCACATCGCGGTAATCGGCCTCGGTAATGTCCTCGAATGTCTCATCCAGAACGTGTGCAATTTGCTTGTGCAGGTTTATCGGGAGAGCCACCACCGTGGTCCTTGTCCCAGCCAGGCTAACGTGTCCGTGCCACTGTGCCGCGAGAGGCGAGGGGACCATTGCTGCACACAGGCAAGCTGCATATGGGCCAGGGCGGAAGCCGCATTGCAGTAAAAGACCCTCCCTTGCTTCCCAGGTCACCCTCAGCAGCGAGATATCGTCCAGGACGAACACCTGTGGAAAATGTTGGGACAGTGTTCAGTGTAGGTGCCCCCTGAAGCTGCTGGCTCTCGCCAAGGCACAGAAACCCAGAGGACAGTGCAGCTCTGAAACAATCAGTCCCCCTTACTCACCATTTTGAGGCTCCCGTGGGATATGTGTGCTGTGTTTCGGACGGGAAAATTATGCTATTGTGTAGACCCTGTGTGTTTTCTACTCCTTAAGTGCGGGGGGAATCATTACTCTGGTATAAACAATGCTGCCTCTGTTAAATGTTGCATTTTGCCTATACAGCTGCATCAACCTTGAGACCTCAGCTGTCCCTCTTATCGCCTGCTCAGAGATTGCAAAGACTCAGGAAGAGACCGCGAAAAAGCAAAGAAGACATGCCGCAAGAAGTGATGCGGCAATCTATTAAAGAGAATGAGAAAGCACAGGACTGGAGGGAGCGAGAAAGCAGGATCTGCCAGGAAAACGCAGCGCACCAGCGGCAAAGCACCGCGCACCAGCAGCAAAGCACTGATAGGCTCATAAGCATCCTGGAGCGCCAAGCAGATGCTATCCAGGAGCTGGTAGCCATGCAGAAAGAGGAGCAGTACCGAAAACGCAAACGCCACCCCCCCACAGCCCTTGTCCCAAAACTCTTTCCGTTGTGCCCCACTGTCACCTCCAACCCACTTTCCCCAACTTCCATGTTCTTCACGCCACCTGCTGCCTCCAACACCAGTATCTTCCCCACCCAACCCTGAAAACCACGACACTTACCCTATGCAATCAACCCCTATCACAATGCAGTATAGCTGCACTGAAGTG